ACTTTACGTAACTCAGCTGTATTTGAATAACAACTAGATAACTTTCAGCGTTATAATATTTTGTCCAGATCTTGTCAAAAACTACTTTTATATTGTAAGTCTAATATTTTTTAAACTTAAGACCCCATCAATATTTTACTAAAAGTAACAAAAAATGCTATTGAACAAACCATGTATTTCCTCTTCCTCCCGCATTATACAAGTTTGGTTTGAAGTGCTACATTAGTTTATGCAACTGTAATTTTATTTACAATTAGTTAGAGTACCCGTCTCCTAGACGGAAGTTATGTAAATTCATGAATAATGAAAGGTTATCCTAGGGCACGAAAAGTTGCTTTCCTTATATGCAATTGTTAAAAACGCAAAAAACGCCCATAAAACTGCAAAACACAAAATGTGAAAACGCACATTTGCATGTATCTCCTCATGGACCCAATGAACCTCCATACCACATTTGATGAAGATTCATCAAAAGGGGGCGAAGTAGCGGTAAAAACACACATAAAAAGGCAAAGCTGAAAATTTGTATGTACCCTTGCATGGACCTAATGAACCTACATACCAATTTTGGTGAAGGTCCATCCACACTCTGCGAAGTAATTACATGGACAGACAGACAGTGGAAACGCATTGTTGAAATTAATTCAAAAACAAACTCTTCTTATTCATAACGAATATCATAGTGATGTTTAGAAAAAAATCTCAGTTAAGTCATCATAAAATTTCACGCCTTGGTAGCCACGTCCTAAATAAATAAAAAATACCATGCTTCCACACGTTAGTATAATATATAAAAACTAAGACAGTTCTAGAGTATAAATAAAAGGTTTCAGTTAAGTGAAAGTGTGTTGCTGTTACAGCATTTATATATGGTGTGGTTTAAAACTGTAGCGTAAGCTCAATTCAATTTGTAAGAAACTAGGAAATCACCATGTAAACAATTAAGGAGCGAAAAAACAGAATATTTAGAATTAGGGTTATTTTACCGTATATAATCTATTGTAACTGACAAATGGGAACTTCCAGTTATAAACGCATATATTATCCATTTATCCAACAGAATATTATAA